CCTTCCTTTTGATTGCTTTTTTCTTGTCCAATGCATTGCTTTTTTAACTTCATAATCCTCTTACAAATAATGTTAGCTCTTTTGTTTTGTCAATTTTAGACCAAAAGCTAAGGCTTTTTTCATTTGTTTGACGGGTTTAGAAATATGAGAACTATCTTCAGATGTTCTGATTGCTTAAGCTAGCGAGAGATTTCAACTTTTGCTGTTTCAGCCTTCCTCCTGAATTAATTAAATCAATGGTTTTAATTTAGACTTCATTCGAGCAGGGAACGGTTTCGTTGACTTTGCACAGAGTCATATGGGCAGATTCAAGCGACCCAGTAAGTTATATGCTTTTTTTTAAATGTGTTTTTTCTACTTCACTTAGCCATTTGTCAAGTAAATAATGTGTTTAGTAACGTGTGGGAATTATCTTCACTAAAATGAGGTATTATAGTTGCATCTTTTTGGTATTAATTCCACTTTCTTTCCATTTTTTCCCTTTGCTCAAATGAAACGATTGGAAACACCATAGGTTTTCCGTTCAAATATCATTTTCACTTTCACATTCGATTGTCGGGAGAATGCTGTGTTTGCTTCTTCATTCAAAACTGCTACTGCAGCTTTGCCTTTCCGTACTTGTCTGCTATGTCCTAGATTGCCTCAAGTAACTGTCTTTTAGCTCAGGTCATCTTTACTTTTCACCTCACCAACTGCAATCACTTTCGTAGAATCTTTCATTTTGAATTCTCTGGGGAGTGTTTCTTGCCACACTTTATCGTTCGCCCTTTATTGCTAATGATTTCAATAATATTTTGTAGTCAACATGCATCACTGCCTTTATAATTCTTACATGACAATCTCATTTTTACCAGTGTTATTGTTTTGCAGGATCGTCGCCTTATTCTTCACCACTCGTTAGTGAAATCGACTGAAAAACATCACAAGTCGATGTTCAACCGCGGTGGAAAGATAATTGTCTATCTCGAGCCGGCTCCACCTCATAATGTTGGCCCTCAAAGAACGAGCAACTTCAACTACATCCGTTTCGTTTTTCGAAATGGTGGAGAAGAAGATGTGTGTGACATTTACTCACATCAGCATCATTGACAAAAATATTGTTCCCATATAACATAAAACCGACGTTTCAGTTTCATAGGAAATATGAAGAAGCACTGAAGCGGAAGACATGGCAGAGATCTAGCTCAGGGTCAAGCTCCGGTGGAGTAAGTCTCTTTTCTCTTTCTGTTTTTCCAGAAAACTAGATACATCACGTAACTCCGTGAATTATTTCTGTGCTTCCGTGTGACCCACTTATTTTTTAAAAAGTTGCATTCAGTCAAGAACGAGTCAAGGTCTACAAATGCGTGCAGTGGGGATTGCCGGCCTCGAAAAAAGAATAGCAGAAAACCATCAAAGAACTCATGAGACAATCAGTCAGGTAAGAATCATCCGTACGAATCCAGTTTTACATTTTTTTGATCGATAAAGATATTCTAAGAGCAACACTAAAAATAAATAGCTTCCTTTCTGGCTCTTTCTTTTTTTTTGTGTATAATCTCTTGCAAGTAATTCTCTCGTTTAATTCTCATGACTTTAAGCTCTACATCGATTATAATTCTTCAAAAATTCTTTTGCTGTTCTATTAGCCGAAGAAAAATGTCGTCACATTTATGTGTATGCTCTCCAGGCATTCGAGGATATGTCGCGTCTAATGGAAACTGCTCGCGATATGGTCGCTCTTTCGAAAAGCATCGCTGAAAAACTCCGTTCACGTCGCGGAGAAATTACTGAAGATGAGGTGAGAACGACGATTCTTACGTTATTTTTTTTTAACTTATTCTTTTTAGAATCTATTTTGGGTCCTTTGATACATTCTATGTTCTCATCTCTGAACATAATTTTTGAAATTTAATTTTCTTGTATTCTATATTTAGACAATCGCATTCAAATCATATTTGCTCTCGCTTGGTGTGTCAGATCCTGTGACAAAGTCAGCGTATGGGAGTGGTGCTATTTATTTCGAAAAGCTTGGAGAAGAACTTTGTACAGTACTCCTAGAACCGCTCAAGGTAGTTAACGCTCCTTTCTGTACAATTTTTTTGGTTTTTGTTGCATATATCATACGTATTTTACGCTTTCTGGTTGGGAGTTTACGGGCATGCTTTAAATCATTATAAATGTAAAAAAAAGGAAGTATCTTATGAAATCTATAAGAGAAGAGCTTCGACCGACCAGAGACATGGCTTTAAGCATAGTACTCAGCAGGGAAACTCGGTTTAGATTAAGAACAGATAGAGAAAACAAAAACTCGAAAGTATGCAAATCTCCAAACCTCTAGGCACCCTGAACGTCATTAATAAGTGAAATAGTA